AAAAAAGAAGGCTGTCCTGTTGCATCTTGATGCTCGTTGGAACAACAGATAATTGGAAAAGCAAAAGGCTGGCCACAAGCTGGTTGGAGCTGAGAGCAACTGTGGTAGAGATCCCTTCCCCAGATGGTGCACCTTTCAACAATGTTCCAGAGGTTCTTTTGCAGGTCCTTTTGCTCCTTCTTTCCCCCTGTACTTTCGGAGAAGCTTTTTAGAATTTGACATAGCCCTGCTTCACAAAAGCCACAACCTTCTGTTCTGGAATAAATGCAAAGAAGCCTTCCCCAACCTTGGACTACTGTTCCCAGAATCCCCCAGTCAGCATGGCCAATGGGTAGGGATGATGCCAACTATGCAGAGGACACAATTTGAGGAAGGATGCATGAGGGAAAATGTTCTGGGGACTAGACAAGTTTTGGTTAAAAACATTGATTACAGAGGAAGTCCCCTGTGATGGGTCCTGAAGGTTAGCATATCAGTTATTTAATATACTTTAATAATTCCCCTTCTGGATGTAGTTGTGTGATGTCCAATAGTGACAAGCGCCAACGTGTGGTAAAATGACATGCAAGCACTGGCCCTGGTTGGAGTAATGATTCCTCAAGTTCAGCTGATGGTGCCCTCTAGAATGGAAATACAGACTACAAGAGAGAAAAGGCGAGTGAAAAACCTTGGCAGATGGTAGAACTTCATATTCTTATCCATGTGTTATGAACACTCTTTCCTTTCCATCGGAAGAGAAGAACATTCCAGGCATGCAGAGAGTTCTTTATTGTAATAAAGGGAACAGAAGGTAACAGTTTCCTTCCCATTTCTTCAGTTCACCTGAGCACATGTTCACACCCCGCTTTTGAACCCTGCTCCCCGCCGCTTGTTCCCTCCTCCTTTCCCCTAATTGGCTAATAGGGCACTGAGAGTTGCACTCTTTCCGCCCGCCTGCTCCGCGCTGCCCCAACACCGGCCCTTCTTCCCAATCCAGCCCTGCCCCCGCCGGGCTACAATAGGCTCATTTTGTTCTGCCCGGCCTGTCAATACACAATCAGGAATATTTGGCCCTCCTGCCTACATGGCTGTTTCCCCATACCTTGTGCTATCTGATTTTGGCCCCTCCCCTCCTTAGGGCTAAGTCATTTTCTTTGTCACCCTTTTAAATCTTTTTGCTCCCTTGTTTCAAATCACCTCCCCCCGCATTTCCTATCACATGCTTTACTCAAATAACAAAATGAGCAAATTGGCCCAATTGTGTGAGATTATACTAAGCAAGGGCCCACAAGCATCTTCCAATTTACTGATGAATGTTATGTTTCATCGAGTTGCTGGTATTTGCTATGTGGTATCTGAGACCCCAGTCCATATTGCGGGGAAATGCGGAGAAGCACAGGGAAGAACCCCATGCAGTGTTTACCGACAGGCTGAGGCCCATTTGCTGCTGCTGGCGGACGGAATTTCATATTGCCATTCAAATATTCCAGGAGGCTTATTGCTGCAAATATCTAAAGTATTTTCAAAACATAGTCTGCGTATGGTGTCACTAATTAAAGCAGGTATCTAGGACTAAGCTTTAGTTTGTAGGGTTTTTGAAAAAAATGTATTCAACTTTCAGCCTTGGAGAGTTATTTAAGTTTGAAAAGTTCACACCCCAGAGATTAAAGACAGAAGAAACTCAACAAATGCTGCAATTAGTTTAGATATGAATGACCTAAGTTTAGGGACTATTCTTTCACCTGAGACAGAACGCTTACTAATTGGAAGCAAAGTATCCTGGGTATTATTTATCCATGTCTGCATGGAGACCTAGATAATTAATACCTTGGATAAAGGTGTTCTGTTTTTGTTTTGCACTACTAAAATCCTAGATATGTAAATCATGACTTTAATTGCATCATCTGTTGAGTTTTTCTGTCTTGAATCACTTTGTTTTGATCCATTCAGAGTCAGCGTCAGAGTCACTGAGTTCTTTTGCTCTTTGTTTTGATGCCTATGACTGTCTCTGAGTTTAGAGACAGGGTGCTCTCTCTCTCTCTCTCTCTCTTTCTCTCTCTCCCCCCCCCCCCCACCCCGGGCATCCATCACATCTGTGCTAGAATGTAAGGATTCTGCCAGTATTTCACAGGTTGTCAGGTAGTTTCCATGCTGCTCTTGGTTTTTGTTTTTGTTTTAACCACACTTTCGTTGCACGCACACTAGTGCACGTTAGTGTTTAAAGTCCACACTGCTCCAGTTCATGGAAACCTGCACTCTTACAATTCTGTTGTGATTTTCCCAACATCCCTTGATTTATCTCAGTTCTAACTTGGGGTTTGGCTGCTCCTGGCTCCCTGTGATCCCTTTCCAGCATAGTTCCCTGCTTCACTCTGAGGCCTAATCCAGGTCTCCCACCCAGAGTCTTCTGTCCTTTTTCCTGTAACCAGCCTGCTGTCTTGTCTGCCTGAATAAATCCATTTGCCCCATATTCACAAAGAGAAACTTTCTGTTGAGTTCAAGCCCTAGTTTCATAAATGGCAGGGCATAATATGATAGTTCCTGACTTCTGCTCTAGGGCCTCGCAAGAGACCACACCCTATTTATGCATTTCTCCTTTCCTCCCTGCCCTGAGGAAAAGTTGGTGGATGCTTCTCCTCAAAAGGCGCATGGCCCTATTCCCGAATCCAAAGCTGAGCCTGAGTGGCCACCTCAGCAGCCAGCCAAGGAGACCGGGCACTGGAAGATCAGCGGCCAGCCACTCATGTGCCCACCTGAGGGACAAGGGACCCGCACGGGCAAAGGGATGCTTGTGAGCAAGTGGACCATTCCTCAGCCTGAACTGCTGGCCAGCAGCTGGGCTCCGGGGGGAGGAGGGGGCTCAGAGGCTTCTAAGCACGGAGTGTGGGAACAATGTCTGAGTTCTCACCTCTGAACGTGCTGGTCCCCAAACACCAGCCCCCTGGCTACCTGGTTCCTGCCTGGTCCACTGTCAGCCTTGCCTCTTGAATGACCCTTGCTGATCCCTTGCCACTCTGTCTCACTGGAAACAGGACGACGACCACACAAGAAGTGGGAGGCGGTTGAGGCCCCATCGGTGAGGGCGTTCAAGGATAGGCTGGACGTGCACATGGTGGGCGTGTCGTGAGTGGAGCTGGCTGGGGCCGGGGGTCAGACTAGGTGGCCCAGGAGACCCCTTCTGACTCGCTCTGTTTCTATGTTTCTATGAAGTGAATTCTTTGATTTCCACTTACTGTGATGCCTGATAATTAGAATGGTTGCTGCTCAGTTTCTTTGCCCTTTCTCTTCTAAAGCTTTCAATTTTTCTGCTGTGACTCACCATGGTTTGTTTATTTAAAGTTTATTTAAAACTTTTTTGTATCATGGTCTCGGGATGGTTTAACAATAAGACAAAACAGAATAAAACACAGCATTCTAATATAAATTTCCAATCAACAATAAAACCCCCTATTAATACAATCAAGTCTTAAAACATTGGGAAAATAAAAAAAATTAGCCTGGGGCCGAGAAGAACAAAGTGACGGTAAAGTTGCCAGTGTGTGTGTGCAGCAGCCTTGGAGATAATCATGCCCGGCGCCCCGGTTTGCTCACGGCAGTTCAAACAAGTCCCACTCGTGAGCTGCTCTGCCCTGGCTGCCCCTTGGAACCCGCAAGAGGAGGGCCGAGTGGGAAGCCAGGGTGACCGGGGGGGGGGGGGGACGAGAAGCCCGGGTCCCCCGCGCCGCCTCCTGCCCTCTCCTCTGCTCCCACCTCTGCTCCTGGCATCCCTCGGGACATCAACAGGCCCCCCTGCAGGACTCGACACCCACCAGTGTCAGGTGTGAGGCCAGGAGGATCCACCGCTTCCCCAGAGCATCCAGAAGGATCTCTTGCAGAAATTCCACAGCTGAGTCTCCATTCTGGGATGGAGGTCAGCCTGCATCCTGGCGGGGGCCGTGCTTGAGAGCCCCTCAGGGCTTCCTACTCTCCTCGCAGAGAGAAGCGGGGGGGGAGGGGTTGGGGCCATGGCGCAGCTGCTTCCCCTGCCACTGCCCCCAGGAAGCCCAGGGCCCCAGCAAGCGTGGAAACCATGCAATTGTCTGAACCCAACAACCAGGTAAGAATCCACACCACACAGTAATCACATGTTAGCAGCACATCACAGTTTATTGTTAGGTGTGAATGGGCCCATCTGAAGAATTACTGGTAAATGCCAGCCTTCATCCAATAACTGATCATCTGTGAGGCAGCCCTCTGGGCAGAGGTGGACTAAAGGTATTTTGCCACTTCCGCCAGCCTAAACAATGAAGCCATATGGGGAAGTAGCAGACTATTCAGTTAAGGCTGTTCCACTTCTACTGGCTACCAAAATTTCCCATATTCCTTCTTCAGACTGGCTAAATATAAGCTCCTTCAACATCAGCCAGTGGCTTTTCTTCTGATCTTGCTTTGCTTTGCTTCTAGCTCCACAAAAAGCTCTGGAGAACTTGAAAGTTTTGCACAGAATCTTCTGACGTTTTTGTTTGCTTTGGACACAGTTGTAAGTGCATCTGGCCAAGAAGACATGTCCAAAGGCTCCCCCTGTTCTGCAGCCCTCAGGGTTCCCCCAAGTACTGTCCTGCTATGGAGGCCAGAAATATTATATTGATTTTGGAAGCAATTTTATTTGTTTGGTTATTTATTTGATTTGCAGTCTTCCTTTTTTCTTTTTTTAAAGAACTCAAAGTGGCTTACATCATACTCTTCTTCCTGCTCTCCATCTTATCCCCACAACAACAACCCTGTGAGGTAGCCTGGGCTGAGGGTCGGTGACTGGCCCAAAGTCACCCAGTTGGCTCCACAGCTGAGCGGGGACCAGAACCCACATCTCTCAAGTCCCAGTCCTGCACTCTCTCAACTGCTGCACCATAAATAGGAACAGCTGTAATTCTTTCTCCATGGCTGTAAAAGTTTGACTCACAGTGACCTTCTATGTTGCTGGTCTATCCTGAAAATTAGCATGATGACATTGCATTGTGTGGGATATTTTTCAGGTGCAAATATCATTTATAGGAAGTGCATTTCATGAAGGATTTCTGCAGAGCCGCAAGCACATCCCTGTTGCGCAAGCTGTATATAAAGGGGTTAAGCATTGGTGGGATGACGGTAATGCATACCGAGTAAATCATGGACCGCTGGGCTGAGTAAGATGTCACTGGGGCAGTGTACGTCAGCATCGATGCTGCGTAGAAGATGCCCACAACACACAGGTGGGACAAACAGGTCCCTAAGGCCTTGCGCCTCCCCTCCTTCGAGCGCATCCTCAGCACTTGCACAAGGATGGCGAGGTAAGAGGAAAGTATCACTGCCATGGGGAAGAGGAGCAGCAGCACATTGTCGAAGTATATCACCTTTTCGAAAGCAGATGTGTCAGCGCAGGTCAACTTCAGCAAAGCGGGGAACTCACAGACGAAATGGTCAATCACGTTTGAGCCACAGTAGGGCAGAGCCTGCACATAGATTGCGATGACCATGATGGTAAGTGAGGAGGAAGACCAGATTCCTATGGTCATGATGAGGCAGACGGCTCTTCTCATGAGGACCGGGTACTGCAAAGGCCGGCAGATGGCCACGTACCTGTCATACGACATGGCGGCCAAGACGAGGCATTCCGAACTCCCCATGGTCAGGGTGAGAAAGATCTGAGCCACGCATCCTCCGAGGGAAATCGTGTTTCTTTGGGTTAAAAAGTTCACAGACATTTTGGGGACAACTATGAGGATTTGCCCCATATCCATGCAAGACAGCTGACTGAGGAAGAAGTACATTGGGGTATGAAGTGTGGAGTCCATTTGGATGAGAAAGAGCAGAAGACAATTTCCAAGCAGGGCAATCACAGCCATAAACAGCACGATGCTGAAAAAAATGGTGGGTGCCTTGATTTGCCCAAGCCCAACCAGGTGGAATTCCCTCCATGATGTGACAGTCTCATTTCCCATCCCTGCTTTGCTTGGCTGAATTTGCCCTGGGGACAATATTTGCAGAGAGAGAAGTCACTAAATGCCACAAAGAGAGTGTTAGTCAAGTTGAACGCTTGCTACTTTGCCTGTTTTGAAATAGCCTTTAAAATCTATGAAGTTGTAATCTTCTGTGTTGGAGGGAATTAACCCCCACCTTGCCAAGCATATCTGCTAACACAGTCATGCAGATTAGCTCAACTTAGTTAACATTATTCTTATAAAGTTACGGATAAAGTGTTATTATGTACCTGGATGAAGGTATCCCCCTCTCCCATGCCCACCGAAATCTGCATGCATGCTGAGCAATAACTTTGGTATTCATGACCTTCCCCATTCATTTCCATGGAGGAGGCCATGACATCAGGGAAGCCAGCTTTTCACCCAAACCATGTAGGTGTGCGTTTAAGCTCAGCTGATGTGCAGATGTTAGCAGCTTTGCTCATCAAACAGCTGTGAAAGACACAAGAGGAGGCTCAGTCATTTAGCAAGCCTAGTGCCAATGGAATGAATGGGGAATGCCTTGAAGGAGAGATCGTGTCCCTGGGAAAAACTTCTGGACCAGGGCTAATTACCTTCTTTTTTCAATTACGAAAAAAGGAAGAATGGGCACCATCAAGCCAAACATGAGGCACATGCCATTAAAACTTCCTTTTGAAATCAGTGCAACTCAGCACAATTCTGCCATGGCTAGATTGTGTCCTGGATGAGGACTCTTATCTTTCATTGTGGAATCTGAATTGCTTATCTCTGTCCATTTTCCAGGAGCACCCAGCACCTGGTCCACATGAGAAAGAAAGGAGGCAGTGTGCAGAACCACTGATTGTCCTGAACTGGCTGAATCAGAGGACGTGTTTGCTAGGGGCAGGAAAAGACTGGCTAGAGAAAAAAAATCCGACCCAATCCAGATTCCAGATCTGTCCAGGTGCAAGAGTTCTTAAATATGCATGTACTTATATACATTTACACTTTACATGTCTACAGAATATGTCCAGCTCCATCTTGAAATAATTTGCTGTGATCATAATTTGTTGGTAGTTCACCAAGTAAAGTCAGCATGTAAAGTCAGCTCCCCTCCCCTGCGCTCGACAGAGAATCTCCCCTGAAAGTACAGGCTAGGATGCTAAAGAGCTGGAACTGGAAGGGAAGTGGAATTTGCTTAATCCAACTTCCTCTTCAGTGCAGGATCTGGAATGCAGGAATCAAGATGCAGCTGAAGCACCTTTGACAAATAGTCATCTGCCTCTGCCAAAATGTCTCGCACAGGCAGGAGTCCACCACCTCCCAGGGAACTGGCCCCTCTGTTAAACAGCTCTTACCCTCAGAAGTTTCTCCTAATATTTAGCCCGAGTCTGCTTCCTTCTCATTTCCACCCACTGATTCTAGTTCTGGCTGCTGGAGTCACTGAGGATGAGTCCATTCCATCTTCTCTGAGATGGCCCTGCCAATATTTGAAAGCTGCAACCACATCTCCTTAATCTTCTCTGCTCCAAGCTGAACATATCCAGCTCTCTCAATGACCGCCAAAGGCCTGCAGCAAAGAAAAAGTACATACTTTTAGCATTTGCATATCCACAGCAGAGGATTTGCTGGTTCTTTGAAGAGCTAATTTCTAACATTTGGTTCCAAGGGTTCATCTGTCTATTGCTTACAAATCCTGTTCCCAATATATCCCTGCATCATCTTTCTGCAAGGCAAAATATGACATCTCAGTGAAAAGCTTTTAGAACAAGTAACTAACCTTCCTGCTCAAAATAACATCTATCCAACATCAGCTGTTGCGGTTACTGTAAGGTCTTTCAACCAATGCATTCTCAGTCCTATGGAAAGCTAACTTGAATTCAGCTTGGGAGTCTATGGCATCAGTCCCCGTCTGGGGAGTGGGGACCAAGGATGGGGATTCAGGTGCTTGAGAGTTAGAGTTTTTCCAGTTCTGTTGGCACCTGGGCAAATCCCAGGAGAGAAAGAGTCCTTGGCTATGGTTGAGCCCAAAGGGACTGATGTTTGCATCATTCACGCCACCCGTTGTATGCAGTGTGGGGAAGGAACGGGTCTGGGTGACGTCTGTCGGCTTTGGGGAACTGATAACCTCAGGCTTTAACTAAGGAGAGACACTGGCAGTAACAAGGAGTATCCCAAAAAAATTAATGTAGTGTTTTCGGGCCCTTTGGTACATTACACTTTGAACAAGTTCAGATCTTCAGAGTCCAATGAACTGCAGCCTCGAGTAACAAAGGACCTGCCAAAAGAACTCTCAGAACCAATGTCTACTCTCTTTGAGGAATCGTGGTGGGTGGATGAAGTGCCATATTGCCATAATGGCTCATGGTACAGGGAACCAGATTCTGGTTCATGGTACGGGGGAAAATGCCCAGACTGTTTGAGCAATGTGACAGTGGGCCCACAGACTCTCCCGAACTGGAAGCATTCAAGATGCAATTGGACAGCCATGTGTTAGAGGTGCTTTAACTTAGAGTCCTGCACTGAACAGAGAGTTGGGCTGAGTGGCCTTATTAGTTCCCTTCCAACTCTACTGCTCTCTTATTAACCTATAAAGCCCTAAACAGCTTGGGACCAGGATACCTGAAGGAAAGTCTCCCTCCTTGTATGCCCTCATGCCCCTTAAGATCTGCAGGAGAGGTCCTGCTCCGGGAACCCTCCTTGAAGGAGGTAGCTATGATGTCTACTCGGAGTAGGGCCTTCTCTGCTGTGGCGCCCAGATTGTGGAATGTGCTCCCCAGAGAGGTTCGCCGGCACTAAGCCTATACTCTTTTCGGCGCCAGGTAAAAACCTCTTTATTTGAACATTATTTTAAGAATTAGGGATTTTAGAAGTTAAGATAAGAGTCACTTTTTCTTTTGAATGTGATTTACTCATTTTTTAACGTTGACTGTATTTTTATTCTATTGATTGTATTTATCATTGCTATTTATTTATTATTGTCAATTGTATTATTGTTTTTATCATTGTTGTTGATTTTAAGCTTGTAAGCCATCCTAAGATGCTGTCGTGAAGGATGGGATAGAAATGTTTTATTAAATTAAAAGTATTCTCTGATTCTATATTTATAGAGATACTTCTACATTTTCTGTTGGCTTTCAGGCAGGGCAGTTGTATCCTAATATCCTATTCACCCTTGAAAAGATCTCAAGTATGATCTAAAAAAAAAATCTTATGGATCAGTGACTATTAAAGAACCAGTCACAGACATGAGAAGGAGATCATCATTTTTTGCAGAGGAGGAATAGAAGCAGTGGTCATCCCAAGGATCTGTGTCTGGACTGGAGTTGCTTGTCCATCAGCAGTGCCTGCTCCAGGTTTTTGGGATTCCCTGGATGAGGCACCATGAATGGGCCCCTCTGCTCAGTGGATCTATCCACTTGCTCCTCCTCCTCTTTCTGATCATCGTAACTACCTGCTTCCTTTGCAGGCAGAAAGCCAGGCAGAGGCGTGCCCTCCTGCAGTGCTCCCGCACCTTGGCCTGGTCCACAGCAAGAGGCAGGTACACAAGCAGGTTGCAATGGTGAAGGGACGGGCCAAGCAGGTGCCCAGCACCTGCCCTTGATGCCACCCTGCCCATGAGTAGACTGGGTGAGCTGTATAGCGGCCACGTTTGTGAACGATGCCGACCAGATTGATGAGGAATGCAGCCAAGGAAGACTCATGTTATCTGTGAAACTTTAAATGTGTTGCTGATAAATGGAATCATAATTCTCAAACAATTCTGAAGTCATAATTCTCAAATTCCAATGAACTTTACTATTTTCATGTGCAGCATGAATGTCCACTCAGCTTTTCCAGTTTCAAATCGGGACATGTTCTCAGTTACTTAAGAGATGTTCTCTGTCTTCAGATATTCAGAAAAGCAGGTCAGGGTTAGAAGTCATAGTGAGTGAACCAGACCACCGCTCTTGGTGGGCATCCCACAATCACCATGACTTGGTGTTGGGTGTTGTGGAAACTCAGGGAGAGGCAGAGGCTGACCAAGAGAGGAGAGAGTTTTGCAAGAGATGGGAGCAGTCAAAGAAGGGGAGTGGGAAAGCAATTGCCCCTGACCCCAAAACAAAGTGGGTCTTGCAGGTTGGCCCTTTACCAGTAGGGGCCACCATGAAGTTGAAGCCCACAGAATTACCGAAATGAAAGGATCTGGGGGAAAAGTTCCCAGTTTCAGTTCAACACTCTTGGCATGAGCAGAGGTTTCTCTTATAGCTCCCTAGAGGGCTTTGAGAGTTGCTCTGTCATGCAGCTATGAAGTGCCAATACAGACCTTCATTGCAAAGAGACTGTCCGGTGCTTTGGAGCCTACAGGAGAGAAGGGGAGGTCACAACGGAAGTTGGCCCACCATGGATGCAAGTCCCACCCTCAACGTCCCCCTGCATGTCGGAGGCCTGCCCTCTCCTCTCCTGCCCTCACTGCCTTGAGGGACGAGGTGTGGCACAGGGCTCTCCACTCGCTCTGCTCTGACCCTCTGCAAACTCCTCTGAATAGGGCAAAGCTGGTGAATGAGGGGGCAAAGACAGGCAGGTGGGGGGCTTGGGGCTGGGGCCAGCCGGTGTGCCCTCATCCCTGCTCCCACTTTTAGCCCTCATGCCTTCTTCAGGATGCCTGAAGAGGATTAGCAGGTGGCAAATGTTGTGAGCAGCACCAAACTGTCCCTTTCTGGGACTCTTCACAAGAGCCCTCGAATGTGTCCTAACATGGTCAAAAGGAGTTGCCCAGCTGTGCCCCAGAGGCAGTGCTGGGAATGGGCCTCCAGGCTGGGCCCCCAACTCTTCTGCCTGGAGCCAGAGCTCCCTGGGAGGCCCTCTGGACCATGCCCTGCTGCCCATGAGCACCTGTGGAGAGAATGGTGCAGGGCCCTGACAGTTGCTGTTGCAGCTGACCCCCCGGGATCTCTGCTGCTGCTCACATGTGCTTGCCTTCCCCTCGAATCCCTCTGCCTTGAGGGGTTCTTTTTCTGCAATCACGTGCCCTCCTTTTC